AGCAACTTTTGCAATGCCTCTGAACCTCAGTTTCTTTATCTGGAACATGGGTATAATAATAACTACCTTGAAGAGAATCCTGCTGTCAGAATGAAATAAGATGACATGTGTCAAACTCTAGGCACATAAGGGGCACCTGATGCAGGCTTATTTTATCTCTGCTTCTCTATGGGCCCAGCGAGATTACTTGGGCAATTGTACAGTGGGTATGGCCTTGGCTACCAGTTGACACGTGAGACCTCAGTGTGTCGTTTTGCTAATTCCCCATCAGAGTGCTTCTGCCTCAGCAGAGAGATGGTTTCTCCCACATTGACCCTTCCTGCTGCCACCATGGAGTTTTGGCAGGAGAATGCTAAACTTTGTGTTCAAAATATAGGAGACTAGAGGCCTCAGGGCAATGAAGGCAATAATACAAACTATCAACCAAGGCTCTCAGAAGTCATTAACTCTGCACTGCTGTTTTTACAGAACATAAAGGTGACTTAGCAGTGGTTACCAGCCAGTTAGTCTCAGAGGTAGGATAAGAACCCAGATCTCCTGACTCCTGAATGTGTTAACACCTACAGGAAGCTATCAGCAAGATTTAGGATGCTCCCAGAAGCATTTTTTTTTGTGACCAAGACAGTCTGTATCTGTATCATGACTATAGTGGGCTGATAAAAAGAATGCATTTTAATGCACGTAAATTTTTAAAGGGAGAGGGGAAAACTTTCATGTAGATTATTTTAATTACAAGCAGCATTTAGAACTTTCTTTTCTCCTTACTACAGAAAAATCTGGGTTTCTTGGACTTCTTTATCATAAAACCGGCATCTTTGAATAGCAGTTTTTGCTTGCTACTTCCCACTCCTCTTTCCCATCTTTTTCATCGTCTCATGCCCTGTGAGATACATTGTCACCCCTCCTATCATCCCCTGTCTACAGAAGTGAAACTCACGTGGACTTGGATTTGAATCCTGGCTTTGCCACTCGCACCTGTGTGAGCCTGGCCACGTAGCCTCTCTGCCCCTCGCTTTCCTCAACTTTAAAACCAGCATGCCTATAATACTTTCCTCGCTAGGCTGTTGTGGTATTGAGCTTAATGTGACATTTCCCAAATCTCCCTCATGATAAGAATCCTTCGGGTATTGTTAAAAACACAGATTCCCAGGGCCTCAGCCCAGAGCTACTAAACTAGCATTCCCAGGGGTAAGGCCTGGCAGTCTGACAAGCCCCAGGGATCCTTATCAGGGAAAATTGAGAAACACTGGATTGATTTCTTTCTTTCTTTTTTTTTTTTGAGACAGAGTCTCACTTTGTGGCCCTCAGTACAGTGCCATGGCATCATAGCTCACAGCAGCCTCAAACTCTTGGGCTCAAGTGATTCTCTTGCCTTAACCTCTGAGTAGCTGGGACGACAAGCACCCACCACAATCCCTCACTATTTTTACAGATGAGGTCTCACTCTTACTCAGGCTGGTCTTGAACTCCTGAGCTCAGCAATCCACCTGAAGCCTTGGCCTCCCAGAGTTCTAGGAGTATCACAGGTGTGCTCAGCTTTACGAGGTTGATTTTTATTGTTTATTATTGTGTCTAGCACTGTGCATCTGATACTTACTGAGCACCTACATGGGTTTAAACTTTGAAATGAGAGTAATATGATCACCACATAGAGTTATAATGAAAAACAAGAAAAGTAATGTATAGTGTCCAGCAAGTATGTAAGTTGGGATTCTTTCAGGATGAAATGGCATCACTGGAAGGTGAGCAGGCTCTCCCTGGCTTCACTCAGGCTGGTCCTTTCCAAGGCATGTGCCTCCACAACCTCAGACCTCATCCTTCTAGCCCAGCGGTATCCCCACAAGGAAGATTCTCATTCTCTAACGTCCACGGACCAAGGTTCATTGGACAACTTGGGTTCTAGGTCCTTCCTTGTACCAGTCACTGCAGTCAGGGTTTGGAATACGCTGATTGGCCAGGACTAAGTCACTTGTTTATCCTGGGAACCACAGGGGTAGGGGTCAACCCATCTGAACTTTAAAGAACAGTCCCTTAGTGTGGTTGCCAGAACAAGAGAAACTGATGCTTGGCAGGCGGCCCCACAGATGTTCTCAGCACTGGCTCCCTCGTGCAGTCAGTGGGAAGTCTCCCGGTGCCCCGCCAGGAGCGGGCATCTCTGCTGGCAGCCTCAGACCTGTCCGCATCTGTTGAAACTCTCCAGTCCTCTCCTTGGCCTGCTCATCCCTGGGCCCACCCTGCTACAGGGGCCTGTCCAAGGGCTGGTCCAGGGACTTATAGTTGCTGTTGTCCAAAGCTGCTTATTAGGGACCCACTGTGGGAATCCTTCCAACCACGAACAATGAGTTTCTGACCCAGGATAAAAACAGCCTTTGCAAGTCAGCAAATGAGACAAACTGAATTGCTCAACCACCCCCTTCCCTCATCAGCCTGGCACTTTCAACACAGTAGATAAGAACAAGGTCTCTGGTGTCACAGAGACGTAGGTTTGAGGCCTGCCACTTCCTAGCTGGGCTAGTTGCCTCACTTCTCAGAGCCTCAGTTTCCTCTGTGAAATCCATGGGGATGAAAGGAGGCCACGGATATGAAGTTATATGACAGAATAGGAGCTCATCATCCAGGCACCCTCCAGCTGGGCCTTTTACCAGGTCCTGGTCTGTACTAGGTGATTCTTGTCAGTCAGTACCAGGGAGCCACTTTTAAGAACCCATGATACATTCTGAAGCCACATAAAACACCCAGATGGGCAACAACACTCACTATATCCTGTCCACTCAAGGTGTGGCTGTGTTCTTCCCGGAAGTGACCACATCTAGCCACCCCCACCCACAGAGTACAGAGCAGGAGACACAGTGCAGACGCCCAGGAATGAAAGTCCTGAGTTTCTCAGGCTCGGCTGTTACTCCTTTGTAGTGTGACCTTGGGCTTGTGAGTTGCCCTCCCCGGGCTTTGGTTTCCTCTTTTTTTAGAGTTGCACTGGGTGATTTCGAAGGGCTTGTCCCTCTCAAGGCCCCGTCCTTAAGGCGCTTGCTAGCACACTGAGTGGCGAAACCTCCCTCACCAGAGCTGTGATGGTCAAGGGCGAGGAGCTGTTTCAACACAGCTGACTCATACAGGCAGTCTCAGATCAAGAGAACAGGCCGCAGGAGGCTGGGGCCACTTAGTGTAAAGGAAAGAGGGCTGGCTCTAGAAATAGACATATCTGGTTAATTCTGGTTAATTCCTGATGGTGATCTTCTCCCTGGCTGTATGACCTTAGGCAAGTTACCCTTCAAGCCACCTGTGTAACAAGGGTCACCTATACAAGGTGCCTGTGATTTTCAGGCGGGTTTAGGAGCTGCAGCTTTTGAAGCACAGGGCCTGGCACACAGCAGGAGACCAGTAAAGGTCAGCTCTTCTCTCTCCCGCTGCTTTGATTGAGCTTCCTCTTCCTCCACACCATCTCCTAAGTGCAGTGAGATGATAACAGCCCCAGACAGGCCTGGGTTTCCTGCTGGTCCCACCTCTTCCAAGTTACTCAACTTGTTTTTCTCATCTGTAAAAAATGGGCCTATGATCTTTCTCAAGGGTTGATATGAATGTTTGGCCTGAGTGGTATAGAAAGGATTCTCTTCCCGACTGGCTCATCGTTATTTCCTTTATCTCACATTTTATAGGATTTATTTCCATATCTACATGAGTCCACTAATCCTTAAAGCTCCCTACCCTGGAGGGTATTCAGGGCCAGAAAACATGAGGCCAGCTCAGAGTTGTGTCAATTTCACCCCACTCCCATGTCCTTTGTGGCTCATGCCTGCCTCCTTCATTCTCCCAGCACAGCACCAGGCCTGGAGGAGGTCACCTCCCCATGCTACACTGGACCCAGAGACAGCTTGCCCCTAAGAGCAGTAGATGCCAGGGAATGGCGTGGGTCACAGGCTCCTCTGAAAGCACTCCACACTGCTGCAGTCACACACAACTGTAAGATGTCATAAGGAACTTGGTCTTGCTGTGGGGTTCAAGGCTGTAAAGCTAAGACAGTATATACATATAAACAACCATAATAAGTTGGTTTAGTCCTTCCAGCAAACATAATGAAACCTCATACAAGAGGCTTATAAATAACTATGGGTCTGACTCTACTTCTAAGAGTTTGTATTAAGAAATCCACAATAAGTATGAATAAGTACTCATATAACAATATCCACTGTACTGCTAAACCCATCTGGTTATAATTAAATCAGAAATATAGTTAATGGACTACTACGTAGCCATTTAAGATACATGCTTTGAAGAAGTAGAGGTAGAAATGATTATACTAATGTTAAGTTAAAAAGTAACAAAATAAAACACCATATGTAAACCTCTAGGTTTGTGAAATAATGTTTTATACATTCCTGAGTTTTCAAGCATACATTCTTTTGACAATATGATAAACAAAACAATGAAAGATATTCAAAACAAGGTTCCAAGTTTCATCCAACTTTTTAATGATTGGGTTTTTAGTAACTCTTTTCATATTTTATTATTATTATTATTGAGACAGAGTCTTGCTCTGTTACCCGGGCTAGAGTGCTATGGCCTCAGCCTAGCTCACAGCAACCTCAAACTCCTGTGGGCTCAAGTGATCCTCCTGTCTCAGCCTCCAAGTAGCTGGGACTACAGGTAAGCGCCACCACACCTGGCTTATTTTTTTCTATTTTAGCGGAGATGGGGGTCTTGCTCAGGCTGGTCTGGTCAAGTGATCCTTCTGCTCAGCTCCCCAGTGCTAAGATTCCAGGCAGGGGCCACCATTCCCAGCCTTCTTATCTTTGTCACTTTTTATCCTTCTTTTTTAATTAAGATACTCTACTGAGTCTTGCTTTGAGATCAAAATTGTCCACATTTAGTATCACGTTATATATCCTATAAGAAAAGCTGTTTTATCTGGTAACACAAATGAAGCTTCCCCCTCACTAGCGGTTATCGGGAATGCACCTTAGAAAGATCAATAGCCTACTGGACTCAAAGAAGCCATCCCCCAAAAAATTGTATAAAAAGATTTATTGAAATTTATCAATGACAAACAGACATAAAACTCAAAGTTTGGCTCTTCTGAGGGGCAGGAGAAAAACTGGTGCAGATGTTCTTTTATACAGATGAAACATGGGTTAGGAAATAACACATCACTTCTAAAGCAATCCAGAAGAGGGACATGAAAGCAAACCTGTACATTCACTAGGAATTTGCAGTCATTTCAGATTTCCACTAGGTAAGAAAATACAATTTTGCGTTAGTTTTTCCGTGCTCGGGTATATGAAAAAAAAAAAAAAAACCCAGCCGACATGCAGCAATGTCTCCAGCGCTTAGGTTTGTAAAAATGTTCTAAGCACAGAAGTACATGTGGAAGAATTCTCTCATCATTTTTGTAAAACAAAGTGTTCTAATATTTTACAGAACAAGATAGGACAGTTTTTTTTTTCTTTTAAATACGTTGATGTTTGAGGGTTCGTTTCTTCTCTTTTAATTGTAATTACCAAATCCACTCTACTTGTAACTCATAAGCCTGCTGTTTTCAGCTCTCTGGCTCATAAGCTCTCAAGAGTAAGTGACATCAGAGTCCTCTTTGTAGAGAGAAGCCCACCACCATCTGTGAAGGGGGAAAAGGGATGAGAGATGGGGAATGTCCCCAAACCAGTGCCAAAATACGCCTTTAGGTTGCTATTTACAAACCTGGGCGTTGGATGCCTCTAGCAGGCCCAAGAAAAGCAGAAATCACGTGAACTAGAGCAAGAGTTAAAGATATGGCTGGTACTCAGCCCGTCCTGGGCTTTGAGTGACCACACTGAGGCCTGCCACGGCCTTCCAAGCATCTCGAGAGACCTGGGGAATACCCGGAAACGTAGGAGAACTCCAAACCATCCTCTGTGAGAGTAAGGAACAAATGCTCACTTGGTGTGTACTCAGCTATCGCATTTACAGGGACAAAAACCAGACACAAAGAAAAAGTAGGGGAAAAAATAAAGAGTGGCAGTAAAAATAGTATTTTATTCCTCCCCCTCCCGCCCTCCCTCCCCCCCGCAACCCCCAGTACACTTTTCCCCTCTCGTTCCCACAGCAACGTTACAATCAGAAAAAAATAAGTTTCGGGGGGCAGGATTTGGAAGGAGGGAGGGGATGTGGGTAAAAACAGTCAAATCACAATAGGAATTTTTCAAAATAGGTTATTCCACTTAGTCATCATCTTCTCCCTCATCTTCAGGTTCTCGTTTTCGCTTCTGACCCCTTTCTTCTTCTGGAAGAGCAAGAAAAGGGCATCTAGATTACATACTGATCCCACCTCCAACTCAGCCCACCCACTGGGAGACCCATATCTAGGAGGCTTTGCCATCCTTGGGAACTGAGGCAGGGTCTCTGCAAAGCCAGAGAGATACCGGGGCCTAGATTGGAATGTTTTGCCCATTGCCGGGGTTCCCAGGGCCTAAGCAACTAATGCTAAACTAAGGGGGCCAAGCTGCTCCCAGCTGAGTGTAAAAAGGCTGCCATACCGCCAGGATCTTCTTCATCTTCCTCATCATCTACTTCCCCATCATTATAACCTTCTTCATCCTCCTAGGAGAGAAAGAAAAGACACCGCAACATCAGAAACGCCCCTGGCTTCGGGATATGCTGAGGGAGCTTTTTTCCTTGACTCTGAGCACAGAAAGGTGGAGGCCACCCCCAGCCTCTCAAAGCCTCCCTCCCCCATCGCAGGATGGATGGAAAGCAGAGGTTCTTATCTATTTTGGATCAAGGGCTCATTTGAGAGTCAGTAGAAAGCTTTGAACTCCTTCCCTAGAAAACAGCCATATCTCATTTGATATTTACAAACAACTCAGGGGGCTGAGGATCCTATCCCAGGTTAAGAACGAGCTCCTGATCTGAAGACCCTGCAAGGTCGGTGGCCTTCCAGAGTGCATGTTCTCTGAGAACAGTCCCAAGGCAGACTCCCTGCCCTGTGAAGTAAGCCATCCCGTCTTGCACCTGGTCCTTAATCTGGTTTTGGCTTCAAGGGAAGACCCCCTGTTTCGGCAAGTCCAGATTCCATGAGCCAAGTCCAACTTCACCCTACTCAGCCCCTTCACCATCTTGTGAGCACAGATCACCTGGAGGGGAGGGCAGGGAAGATAAAGGCAAGGCCCCTGAAGACATCATGCCCAACTTGCTTGAGGTTCGGCAAGTTGTACTTGTACAACTTCATTTTCGGCCCAGGGCCCTTGCTTTGCACTGGTCCTGCAAGTGTACGCCAGTCAGATCTCTGCACTGAACCCCATTCCTAAGGCAATGGGCAGCCTACTGTTTTAACTTGCTGAAATAATCTTTTGTAAAGTAGTTCCCTCATCGGTCCACCTGCTAAGACTCTGCTTTCTATGTGTATAAGATCTCTTTTACTAGAAGCTGGAAACATGTGACAGTCAATGAGATTATAAAACATTCAAAAAACAAAAACCTAAACCCTGTATGCCCTGGATCTTGTGACAGAAAGGGCAAGATGAAAATCTATTCGCCAACATGATTTACTACCCCTAACCTGAGGGACAGGTTTTTCTAAGTCTTAATTTTTAAAATACTTACAATTTTTTTTTTTTTTTTTTGAGACAGAGTCTTATTATGTCACCCTCGGTAGAGTGCCAAGGTGTTACAGCTCACAGCAACCTCAAACTCCTGAGCTTAAGCGATTCTCTTGCCTCAGCCTCTCAAGTAGCTGGGACTACAGGCATCTGTTTGGCAGGCCTGGGCTGGGTTCAAACTGGCCAGCTCTGGTGTATTATGTGGCTGGTACTCTGGCTGCTGAGCTATAGGCACTGAACCACTTACAATATTCTTTAGAGGCGAACCTAGCAGCCTAGGGCCAGAGAGAAGAGAAATTCAGCAGCAAAACTGGACAGAAACCCAGCTCATGTCACCGGCTGTTCTATTTGCCTGTGGCTGCTTCTCCCAAGCCCGGGCCCAGACCCCTACTTGCATGAGTATGTGTGGCCCAGGCAGGTGCCTGCGATCTCCATCAAGGGAGACAGGAAACTTGGTGGGGTATGGACACGGGCACCTCATCTGTGCTATTATCACTTATTTCAACCTCTCTAGGTCTAACTTTTACAATTAGCAAGAGTTGGTTTAGATTTCTGAACAAGTCATGGAAAATGACTCTGCTACAGAGTGACTGAGAACAACCAAACACACAGTCCAGCACACAGTGCCAGGAGCTTAATGAAGGGAATGAATGCCTACAGTAAGTGGTCAGACCCTTACCCTGGTCAGATATAGTCCTTACACATTTTACGTATATTTTTACCCTATCTCATAGATGAAGAAATAGGCTCAGACAGGACAAGCAAGTTATCCAGAGATGCAGACATCAAGTGGTGGTGCTGGGATTCACCCACATAGACACTTCACAGACCTTGTTTATAAACACTGGGAACCAGCCCATCTGCTAGGGTAATGGCCACCTCCTGATGCACTATTTCCAGTGTGCAGAGAACCCCTCTGTCACTCTCTGATTTGGGACCAGCAATCTTACTCAGCTAGGCATCAGTTCAAGGCACTCTTTGAATTTTTTCCTAGCCCAGTGAATGTCTTAATTAACATATGAATGTAAAAAGGGTCCAAAATGGGGACATTGATTCTGTACTTCTTCACATAGTTCCTCTGCCTCTAGAATCCTCTCCCTCATTCCTAACCCAACCTCCTCAGTGCTCACTGCAGGTCCTACCTTTCCCAAACCAGCTCAGGGAAAAGTTCTGAAACAGACTCACATCCCTGGCTATGGAAGGTCAATGTCCCCAATCATGGCCCTGGTTGCCAGGCTCACAGAGCATTTGGTGGGACTGCCTCGGAGGTAGCAGGTGTGGACAGCTCAGGGAGCCGGCCATCTGCCAGCCCAGATTCCTCACCTCCTCTTCTCCACTGACATCCTCCTCTTCACCTTCTTCCTCCTCATCCTCGTCCTCCTCATCTTCCACTACCTGAGCGTCTTCATCATACTCCTCCTCTGTGTAAGGGAAGCAGAGAACAACAGCGGAGCTGGTGGTGAGCTGGCTCCTCCCTCATATGGCACAGGTCCTGGGCTGATGGGCCTGGGTGAGGGGACCTTCAAGTGTGGGGACTGTGACTCTGCCGTGCCCACAATAGCTCAAAGACTGTAGGCTTCAATGCTCATGGAACATGCCAATACAAGTAAACACATCCTAACGTGATTCAAAGACAAGTCCTCCTTACAAGTTTTAGGAAAGTGAAAGATTCCTTATGGAGATTGAGACTACTTAGAAATTGCCAGATCAGAGGAAAAGTTCCCAGGTTCAGGAAAGCTGGAAAGTTGATTCATTTATAAAGTGCATTTAGGCTAAACTCTTCACTTTGTTTTATTTTATCAGAGATAGGGTCTCTGTTACCCAGGCTGGAGTACATTGTGGCATGACCATAGCTCACTGTAGACTCCAACTCCTGGGCTCAAGTGAACCTCCCACCTCAACTTCCCAAGTAGCTAGAATTACAGGTGCATACAACCACACCTGGCTAATTTCTTTTTAAAAGATGAGATTTCACTATGTTGCCCAGGTTGGTCTCAAACTCTTGGGCTTTAAAGCAATCATCTTGCACCAGCCTCCCAAAGTGCTAGGATTACAGGTGTGAGCCACCCTGCCTGGCCTAAGCTCCTCACTCTCAAGGTGAGAAACCTGAAGAGCAGAGAGAACTGACTTGTTCAAGGTCCCATACAGAAGCAGTGGTAGAGCTGGGCCTAGGAACCTGGTCTTAGGACTACCAGTTTTGCATTTGTTTTCCTGCATCACAAGATCCCTGCCAAGGCAAACAGGATCTTGCAAAATACTCCCAATCTAACAAGGAAAAACAGAATCTTGTGCCTGAGTTCATCAGGCAAGTGTCTCAATTCTTGAGTTTACCCTGGTTATGAAGACTTGCAGGGAAACTGTGCACTGTGCTGGCAGCAAGGGAAGGTGGCACCAGGAGGAGGTGCTGCTCTCTTTTCTTTTGCCCCTTCCTGAAGGACCTGCTGCTCACTGCATTGCCAGGGAGCCCCATGTGCAGCCTGCAGCCCTTCACTTCTCTGCCCTTGGGGTTCCTCAGCCCCTGAGCCCACACCCCCATGGCTGGCCTGTGGTCCTGTGGGCTGCAGCCACCAGAGGGCCCCACAGGCTCTCCAGCTCTGGCCTCATCTCCACTACTAGACACCCAGATGGGAAAAGGGGTCCTCTGGCCACACTCCACCTTCCACTATGCTCTCTCCCACTGCCTGGGAGATTATCTGTGCCGGGTCACATTACAGAGACACTGCAGAATCTCCTTCCCTGGGGGTTTTGGAAAAGGGACAAAATTAAAGGATTTAAGGATTTTGAGGATTCAGTTAGATGGTTTTAAAGCAGTTACTATGCAGCTGGAGAGTCTCTGGAGCTGATGTCTGTTTCCTTAGGGAAGTTAACCCATGAGACAGATAAAGGACTATGGCATATACAACACAGACAGCCCCACTCCTTTCCACAGCTTTGGGAAGAGGCAGCTTCCAGCCAGCTCCCAGCAGCCGTGCGGGGCCTCCCAGCCTCCCAGCCCCCAGCCTCTGTAAAGGGGTCCTGCAGCCCCAGCCCACCCGTGGCCACCCACCATCCTCATCCTCCTCCTCATCGTCATCCAGGCCCTCCACGTAGCCCTCAGCGTCTGAGTCAGGGGCCTCCTTGTCGTCTCTGTCATAGCCGTCGAGATATGTGAGTTGCGGGAGGAGCTTGAACACGTTTTCTCGGTAGTCATTCAGGTTGGTTACCTCGCAATTGAAAAGGTCTAAGCTCTTGAGGTTTTCTAACTTTTTCTGCAAGTGGAAAAATGAAGTCAATGGTGAGAGATTTGCGGGAGGTAGGGTGGGAAGGGGAACAACCCCAAGAAATATTCAGGGATGACATGAGATGGTGTGGGCCCAAGACTTAGCAGGTGACAAGGAAATTGGGTTAGGCTCTGTTCAGCCATGGTGCCTGCCCAGTTTGGGGGCCTCAGTGTCTACATGTGGAAAATGGAGGACAGGATCTTTAAAGCCTCACCCAGTCTTAACGCATTGTTATTGTGGGCTTGAAATTGACCCGGGGCTTTCTTGGTACAGAAGCTGCCTGCTCCTGAGACAGAGGAGCCAGGGAAAACAGGGAAAACAAAAAGGGGACAGGAACCAACAAACTAACTCCTGCTACATCTGGTAACAGTGGTGGTGACAGTAGCTAACGCAGAACTTCATTTATTCAGTCAGTTTATCCTCATTTCCTCATCTATAAAACAAACTAATACCTAAGGTATTACCTATGGTACTTTAAAAACAAAAACAGACAGCCCCAGTCCTCTCCATGGCTTTGGGGAGAGGCAGCTTCCAACCAGCCCCTGGCAGCCGGGTGGGGGCTCTCAGCCCCCAGCCTCTGTCAAGGGGCCCTAAGGTATTAGTCTGCTTTACAGATGAGGAATTGGAGAATACAGAATTGCATTTAATCAGGCAGCCTAACTTCAGACCTGTGCTCTCACTCTCTGAAATAGCACCTGTCAAACAGGACAAGGGGAGAACCCACGGATCCAGATTCTGTCCACAGTGCTTAACACCATGCGCTTTGTTAAAGCTTTACCCCATACGGCTTCCAGTCTATGTCTGCTTGATGGGTGAAAAAACTGGAGTGCAGGGCGGCGCCTGTGGCTCAAAGGAGTAGGGCACCAGCCTCATATGCCGGAGGTGGCGGGTTCAAACCCAGCCCCAGACAAAAACTGCAAAAACTGGAGTGCAGGAAGTGAACGGTCACAACGCTCATAGGTGACAGAGATGCGTCTTAACTCTCCAGCTCACCCGCCTTCAGGATGCCGAAAATAAATGTAAAAAATACCATCCCAGGCTGAGTCTGTGTTCTGCTGGGCCAGCTCTATCTGGGGAATGAAGCCACTACCCCTTGGGGTCAGTATCTGGAGCTGCGTTGTTCTCACCAAGACCCTCTGGTTAAGACCCAGGTCATTTTCAGCAGAGGGCCAAGGGCAGGGAGGAAATCTGGGCAAGCTCTGACCAAAAGCAGCTTCCCACCCCAAGGAGGTGAGTGTTAACGCATCACACTGGTAACCAGGGATGGGGAAGCTACTGAAACAAGTGATCTGGGCACAGGAAGACTGGGAGTGCGCATGTATATCTCTGTGTGTGATCTAATGGTGACGGAATCACAGCATTTACAGGATTTTTAACACTCCGTCTCAATCATCACCCGTGCATACACAAATGGAACTACACACATTTTTCCTTTGATAATGAATTATTATTATTTTTTTTTTTTTTGAGACAGAGCCTCAAGCTGTCCCCCTGGGTAGAGTGCCATGGCATCATGCTCACAGCAACCTCCAACTCCTGGGCTCAAGCGAGTCTCCTGCCTCCGCCTCCCAAGTAGCTGGGACCACAGGCGCCCGCCACAACGCCCGGCTATTTTTTGGTTGCAGCCATCATTGTTGTTTGGCGGGTCCGGGCTGGGGATTCGAACCCGCCACCTTAGGTGTACATGGCTGGCGCCTTAGCCGGTTGAGCTATAGGCGCCGAGCCGATAATGAATTATTAAGTCAAGACTTTTAGGCAGATCAAAATAGTTCCGCTTTCTCCTAGGAGACCAGTGAAGACATGAAAAGAGGCTCTGTAGGAAGCATGTTCTACTCGTTGGCCCCATGTCACAGATGGAAAGGTAAAGTTTGAGCTTAGAAGAGAAATGCCAGCTTCCTGCTCTGTGCCTGGCTCACCAACAAGCCCCTTGAGCCATCTGTGGAGAGCAAGGAGTGCCTTTCTGGATAAGAACCCTGCAGACCCAAACCCAACCTCCATCCTGTCCACCAAGAAAGAGAAGACTTGGCAGAATGTCCCCCTGACCTTTCCCTGATTCTAAGATGCCTGGTTTATTAGGCAATTCTCATGTGTGTATTTACAATAGGTGTGTTTACTTAATGTGACAGTATTCCTCTATTTCAAAAGAGTGGTTATTTAATCAATGACACATCTTGTGGTTCATTTCCTCACAACCAAAGTAATATAGTCATTCAGATTCTAACCAGGACCTGCCTGTTTTCTGGCTAGTAAATCAATCAGTGAAGCTTAGGGTGTGTTCAGCAACAAGTAGATGAACAGAGGAGCCAGAAATGCTCCCCAGGTCTCCAAGACCCTGGTCACTGTCACATTAAGGAGCGGTGGCCAGGGACCGCTCTTCTCCATGCATGCTGAGAAAGGCCTGCCTGCCTGAGGCCTTGGCACCACACAGTTCTGCCATCCAGCGTTCTGTGTCAGGCTGGATCCATCTCCCACTGCTCAGAGGACAGCAACTCAAGAAGAAAACAGGAGTCCACCTCGAAGGTCAGCTTAATTCTTGCATCGCTTGCTCCTCCCTCTGAAAGAGGGAGGATCAGCCATTCCCTGAGCCTAAAGACTACAGCTACACAGCTCAGGTTTCCAACACCGAGCAGAAACCATGCGTAGAAAAGCACAAGACCAGAAACTGACATCAGGATCCTACCCTCACCCTCACAGTCACTGCCAATTCTGCCTGTGTGACCTTGGTCAAGCCATTTAAACTTCTCTGGGCCTCAGTTTCTCTATAGACTAAGCAGAAACAGCTCAATTCTATCTCATAGCACATAATGAATATCAAAGAAATTAAGTAGAGAAAACACAAATGCCAAAGTAGTGTTCTCTGATACAAATCCCTCCCGCTGCCCACCCCACGGAGAGGGGAGGATCCAGATGACTTACCAGTGGCTCTATTGTGCTGAGGTCTTTAATTTTGTTGCCACTTAAATTTAGATGCGTGAGGTTCGGACACTTTTCTGCCAATACTTCCAGGCCCCCTGAGATTCTGTTATCGCTTAGTTCAAGCTAAATGAGGCAGGAAGAGAAAAAGCAGAAACTGCTTTTAAAATGAAGGCCCTCCCCAGACAGTCAGGGAGGGAAAGTAACTTCAGGGAAGTGCCTGGCGTGTTGGTGCAAGCACCTGGCTATACCACCTTCCATGACGCTCCCTACACATAAGTAACACCCCCCCTCCCCACAGTCGTCTCCCAGTACACACAGGTTACCACACTCTATTTACCTTCTTAAGTTTGTTTAACGTTGGTAAGTTCGCGACTGAGGAGAGGCCTACGTTGATTGTACTTAAGAATTCCAGTTCTTCAAATTCATCTGTGAGGCCCTCAATTTTGCCTTCATTTGACCGACAGTTGTCCAGGACGAGTTCTTTCACCTGGAAAGGAAAGGACCTTGTGAATACAAAGGGGGAAAGGGACCTGAAGTGGGGAAGGGTGTTAACAAGGCCTCCTTGGAGGACAGGACACAGACCTCCAAAGCAGTCCCCCCGTTATGCTAAAACTGTCACTTCTCCCAGCTCTTCCAGATCACTGTATTGCCAACAACGCATGGATTTGCCCTACCTGGATTTTCTGCTTTTAGCAATAATGGGGTGAAGGGAATCCTGGGGGGCAGAGCTACAGAAGATAGATCTAGCAAGCCCTGGTCCCCTTAGCGAAGTTGGTGTCTCATTTTAACCCTATTCACCCAAAATACTGTAATAAAATAAAATAGCATAGCCCCCAGCTACAATGCTGTTAGGGGACCCCTGGGCCTGGCCCCCCATTCCGATGCTTCATCTTACCTCTTCCAGAGGCCAAAGACCCACTCTCTGTTCTCAGCCCCACCTTCCTCTCACCTCCACTTGCCTGCACCCCTCTTCTTGCTGAGGGGCCCCAACACTCACACATCTGCTGGCTCTTACCCACACCTGTCAACACAGTCAGAGCCTGTCTACCTGCCTGGCATGTGTCATTGTTATATGGCCTGGTCTGCCTCATGGCAGGGGCCGTAGACCAGCAGCTCCTCCAACTCCCCTATCTCTAGACCGGCAAGGTCTGACAGAACTTCAGAGGATGGAGATGTTCTGTACTGTTCCAGAGAGGACCAGTAGCTGAGCATGACCACAAAACACTTTCAGTGTGGCTGGTGAGATTGAGGAACTGCACTTTTCGTTTTAAAATTGAAGTGTAAAAAGACACAAGTGGCGATCATTGTGGACAGCAGGCTGATAGGCTTTGCTCTTCAGGTTCCTGGGCACAGATGTGAAAGGAAGATGGAGACCCACACACCTAGAATGGGCCCAAACAAAGACCAGTAAAGAGCCACACTCTCAGGAGTTGTTCGAAGGCAGACTTAGATGAAGGTGATAGGGCAGGCTGCAGTGAAGAAGGCAGGAAGACAGGAAAAGGAAAAGTAATAAAGTCTCAGGCAAGAAATGAGCCAGGAGCCAGCAAGGGAGACAGGGGCATCTGGCCCTCCAGGCAGTTGTCTCAGAGTTATCTCTCCAGCTCAGAGTGGGCCACCTGCTTGGGAAACCTGCCCTCCCGGCCTGCCTGCTCCCTGAAGCTGCCAGTGGACACACACTGATGCCTGGACACGCTGCCTCCCTCCCTGGGGTTTCTGCTCACTCACTCATAGGTCCTCCTTTCTCACCAAAGGGTCAAACAGCACAAGCCAGTCCTCCTTCACGTTGCCCAAAAGGACACTCCTACCCCTCAGGGCCATTTTTGCTCCTGGATAAGGGGAGGGTCCTCTAACCAGTCCTATCTAGGTCTGCTCCTATAGCTCTGAGCAGGCCAGCTTGCCCAGCTTCTTCTATAGGGCCCAGCTGACCGGCCTTCCACAGCCCTCCAGGTGCCCATCCCACTCCAGCAATTCTGGGCCAGAAGGATCTGGAAGGAGATAGGAACAAAATCCAGACTAGGCCTACTCTGCCCCTCCTCAGTCCACCCCTGCCAGTGGCCAGAGCAGGGGACTCTGAGGCATAGTCTGGGTCTCAGCGCCCTGCAGGGCCCGGTAGCTGTCCTACCTGGGACAGTCAGCGACATGTGGCAGAGGCCGCACAGGGGGATAGCAGGGAGCAGTATCCTTCCTCAGGAGCTAACAAGCTCTTGGCCTAGGCCTTGGCTACTAAGGTCCACTGTCCCGTTGGACCTGGGAAGGGAGTTCAGTCCTTTCCCACCCATCCGCAGACCCCCAAGAGGCTAGATGTCCAGGTCAAACCACCTTCTCAAGGTCACTGGCTAGAGTTCCTGGGAATAAATCCTGTGAGGCCCTCTGCCCTAGGGCAGGGAGGCAGTGTAACGCCAGGAAGCCAGGCCTTCAGGGACCAGCCCAAATAGGGGGGTGGGGGTGGACTGTACTGGGGGAGGGGAGCCATCTCCCTGAAGTAAACAGGGGAGAAACAGTCTTCTCTGGTAACTGATTTCCTTGGAAGGCCTTGGGAATTCTTGAAGCTCTACCAAAGAAAGACAAATATGAGAAGATTCCAGTCTCCCCTCAAACACTACAGACATGCTTTTTCTAGATGGGTCAAGGGCTTCTTTTCCTACTGCCATTAGCCAAGGAGAGGAGGGCCTCCGTGAGGGGGTAGGCGGTGCTGAAGTCAAGGGAATTCCTCTGGAAGTTCGCAAGGCACAATGCTGCTGGCCACCACTGGTGGCTGCCAGGCTAGCCCCAGCACTTGCCACCACCACACTCAGACTGGTGGCCACTCCCCTCTGAGACAATATGCAAGCCACCACTTTGAATTTTATTTTATTAAAAATACATAACCACCAAATATTTCTTGAACGTTCACTAGGCACTCTCCAAGGGCTCTGCACACACTGTCTCGTTTATCCCACCAACCACCCCATTGGATATTCTCTCCACTTTATAACCACATCAGAATCACCTACCTAAAATCCCAGGTCATTCACAGGTCTTAAGAGGTTGTCTCCTGCACCAAGGTGGCTGGTATTGGCCACAAGGAGGAGCTCCTGATGGCTCCATGACATCCCCAAATGTAGGGCATTTCCTGGCTGTGTTGGGGCTTAGAAAAGAGTACCTCCAAGTACAGCACTATGGCATGCCAAATGTTTTGAACCGAAGGAGACTGGAGGGCCTCAGGAGCAGCTAGCTCAGAAGGAAACTCTCTCTGACCTTCTGCTCCCCTGTCCCCTGCCCTCTCTTCAGGGAAGTGCGTCATTAAAGCTAGAATTCCTCCTCCCCAAGGAGGGTCAGAGAAACGCAAACTCCTTGTCTCCCAAGCAAGACAGAAAGTCTAGAAAGGCCACTCTTCCCAAGGAATGCCTCTCATAACTGAGAGGAAGGACTGCTACACAGAGAGGCCTCACTGCCCCTGCCCCCCTAGTACCATGAGGTCACACCCTTTTGTCCAATCACACTTCTATAGTACTGTACATTTTCCTTCAAACCTAAGCATAAAAATAGGCAGTTTTTCCTGGGTCTCTAGGTCTTCATTTCTGAAGGGCTCCTGTGTCATGAAAAGCTTTGAATAAATAAATTCATCATGCTTTTCTTTTGTTAATCTGTCTTTTTGTGTCAGCAGGGACCCCGATGATGGGTGAGGAAAAGGATCTCATCTTTCTGTCCCTCCAACTGTAACTGTCCTTCTAACTGTTCCACAAGTGAGGTGGGCACCACTCCCTGAGGTCTCCACCCTGGTTGCACTTCCTTGGCAACCAAAGCACATAACCTAAGCCAGCCCTGGCTCAGCTGACACTGCAGGAGAGAGCAATACCCAGTGGGGCCTGGGACCCTGTTTTTCCCCAAATAGCAAGAGGCTGTGTCCATTCCCTTGGGAAATCCCCATCCCCCACCCTAGGTTTCTAAGGGGGTGGGGAGGCAACTCCAAAATCCCCACTGTTTCTGCATTTCCTTCCTGGCTGGTTTCAGCGCTGTGTAGGGGTGAGATCAAAGAGGGGGAGGGCCAGCTGGGGTTAGGATCCTGGGGTTGCTGTTATCACCAAAAACCCAAAGCAGAGAGGGCTGGGTGAAAACCCAAACCAGGGTGGGAGTGATGTATCACAATGAGGACAACAGGTGAGCTGCCTGGGAAATGTCTGAGATGGTCAGGGCAGGGCAAAACAAGAACATCAGCCCAACAGCTGGCCCATGGAAGCCACTCAGTTAGCCCCTGCCTGCCTCCCCAGGGTCACACTGTCTTAGTGCTCCATAGCCTCAGACCAGCCCCGAACTCTTGCTTGAACACCAATCCACTTCCCCTGCACTTGGCTCTAACCCTTCCATGTGAAGAGAACATCCTTTTTACATCCAGGGTGTGTTCTGCTTGAAAAAGAAAAAAAAAAAAAATAAGGCCCATTTCCCCTGCCAAGTCCTGGGTGTGAGCGAAGTGCCAAGTTAAAATTAAACTGAAAATTTGTACTTTAGGTTTAGACTCTCTCCCAATTCCACCGGCCATTTAAAAATATCTGAAAATGTGCTTACCCTCTCCAGCCGAACGACTGGAATTGCCCTGCTCACATCAGCAGCCTTTCTGACGCCCACAGGCCAACCTACACAGGACCCAGTGCCTCAGTCCTCATGGGTTAGTGCCCCAGAGGGGCCCTCGCGGCAGTAAGAGATGTCAGTGGACAGGAGCTGAAGGGTCCCTGGAAGTCAGACTGCCAGGGCTTCTGCATTTCCAGAAGACACATGTCCCCAAAGTAAGGATTTGTCAGTCATTTCTCCCCAGTGTGAATGAAACATCCATGATAAACACGCAGCTGCAGTATTCCTATAAGGAATTAGCTTGTCTGTTTAAAAACTGAAATCTTGTCTTTACAAGTCTCTCAAATTTGATCTTTCCATTCCATTTCCCAGCGCTGTAGCACTGGTCACTGTCACCTCAAGTCACCCTAAATCTGCTTTGTTTAACCTTCAAACTGGGCCTCTGTGACCATGCCCAAAGTGGTTAGGGGGACAGGACTGCAGGGAAGCAACAGGCCTCCACACAGGGAAGCCCAGGGCTCCCAGCTCTATCCCCAGGCCTCAGGCTCCTGCCTCTGTAGAAAGGAGATAATGGTTATCTGTTTCACCTGGAAAGTGTAAGCCAGAAAACATTCCTGGCTTCTTGGTACCATTCGAAAAATTCAAGTTCCTAAACGTGACCTCCTCTAACGCTATCCATTCCTAGAACTCCTCCTCCCTTCCTCCAGCCCCAGCACTCCCCGCCTTGCTCTCACACTACAAATCTAGTTCAGACCCCCTCCCCAGGAAGGCGCCCAGCCCAGCCCAGCCCAGCCCAGCCCTGTGCCTCCTGGGGCACCAAGGGCAGCTGCTGCATGAATCATTTAATCGTGTATTAAGCATCCGATCCTCCTAGAGGTCAGGGACTGTCCTTCTCCATAATCAGCCTAGCAGGGAGCGGACACCAGAGCAACTGCTTAA